CTCATCTACTTGCATTTATGATTCCATAAGTCAAAGCGCCTATCCTTTAGCCAAATTGTAAAGGTTTGCAAATAATTTTGTTTAGTACTAAACTGCCATTACAGAGAGGGTTCCGACAAAGGATGACGACGCAAATTATCAAAATTACCAACTCTTTTCACTAATCAACCCACTGAGGTTTGTTTGCCTGTTCGTACATTTAGCAGAGTAATGAGATGAACAAGAAGAATGTCACCAGTGATAGTGAAAGTTAAAGACCCGGGACTTGAGCTAAAGTGCGAAAGCATGCAATGGAATGTGGCGCAACCTTCTTCCTTATGCGAAAGCTCCACACAGACTTTCACAATTCCAAAGCACTAGACTTAGCATTGGTATGAAGTCAAGTAGAGAGGGGGAGAGAATGCACAGCACAGTAACTGTACACAGCATGCACATGGAATAATTTCACATCTGGGCAAGTGTTTCTATAAATAATTACTGGTGCGTAGAGTATGCTCGCTGTAGACTTGAGAAATGCGAGGCCGATTAACCTCTACAGGACATTTTGCAAGAGAAGACTGTGTCAGTTGAAATAGAATTTCCGCATCTGATTTCAGTGCGCTCAAAGCTCCAAGGACAACGGTCAAAGAGACAAGAGGGTTACGAAATAGAATGACTCTTTTTAAATGTATATTGAATTGCACGGGCTTTCTTATCTCGCCCGAATTCGGCCTAAAAGACGAAAGCATGGAGACCTGGTGCAAGCCCCTAAGCTGTTTCGGGTCTTGATAGGAAATCAGCTTAAGGCAGTTTCAGAAGTAACTGGGACACAATGCATACGAAAGCCCAAGTAACTGTTTTACAAGAACTCTTCTGAGTGCTCAGAAGTGACTAAAATACCACAGATTGTGTCTTATATCAGATTTCAGCTTTCCATGAGCTGGAGAACATACCACAGTCTTCCTAAAATGGATTCTTCCCAACGAATCGCGTCTATCAGATGACGTTATAAGTGAGTAGTATCAAGAATACTAGGGGTGAAAATCTTCATCGGTCAATATTCATTTCTATTAGACAAAGGGATGGGGTGGTTCGAAATATTACCTATGCGTCGGGTGGTCCTAAGAATGGATAAGATCAAAGAGTGGGAAAAGTCCTCCAGCTCACCTGAAGTGTAACCAGTGGACCAATGGTCTGCCGCGCCCACCTCGGATTGATGGTCCAGTCCAAGCCGACCACCTCAAAGCCCGCAGACGCAATTTCCTTAAGGGCATAGTGTCCACCCATTGCAAACATTATAATAGGTGGACATTCGCCCGCAGAGAAGTCGTGCTGATTTTGCAGACAACTGCGTACGCCTGTATAGATTTGTTGCAGACAGGGCAGTACAAAGGTAGTGAAGAGGTCCGGTGACAGGACTCCTGCATGCGACTCAAAAATCTGTCACGGAGGGAGATCATAATTCCTTTTTTATCGTCCACTCTTTACTTGTATAACACGATGATGGACGCGTCAAATATCAGGCTTAACCACCCATACCCTTCAATCACCACAGCATTTAGTCATCATTGTGGCGATGAGGTCATAGGTTAGTGTCACGTGTGATTGGTACCCACCAGCCCTTTTGCACGCCTATCCATGCTTAGTGCATATATGAACCTAAAGAAATCCTCAAATTGCTTCTGACCCTTCTGTTGAGGGGAGCGACACAGAAGGACGAGGAAGATGCTCACAAGAAGAGGATCATGTAGCAGATACATATTTAAGGTTTACACGAGGACTCTATCACTCTTTTGGTGGCACATCTTGTAAGTCATGTCGATTCCTTGCTAACAACTCGACCGGTCTTTCTGTACACTTAACCATTAAGTTCTCTCCGGCCTCATACGCTCCATCCTTTTCCAGCATCCGATCCTACCAATGCCTACTCACAGGTACGTACACCTTAGTGTGCATTCAGTAAAAAGGTGGAGCTGAAAAATATTAAAACCGTGGACATAAGAATATAACTTACTTTCGCGGACTAGGAGCTTAAAAAGTTATGCCATCGACGTAAAAGTTAAGCCCGGAAAAACATGGTTTGCTGCTGCAACAGTGGCAGCGATGAAAAATATCTCAAGCCGCCTACTGCCTTGGCAAAAGATTGTGAATACATTAAAATCGACTGGGATTTCTAGCATGGGGAATTGATAAAGCCATCCACCACTTATAGCAGTATTTGGTACCCTTTTGGTCGTTAATGAGATGCGAATAGCGCAATCAGTTTCCATGAATTACAGATAACATGCCTCCATGCAGGTCAGCCTTAAAGTGGCATACTCACTGCTTGCTGAGAAGTGCATTATCGCCTTCAGCATTGTTGATTCCAAATTCACCCGCCAGTGGTGCTCAAAAAAGATAAAAACCCAGAATTTCTGATAAATTCTTGTAATTCTTTATGGGGTTGCGTCGACTTAGTCTTAAATCTAGTCTGGTAGGGTATTTAAACAATTGACGCGCCACCTCCGCAAGGAAACGAGGAGGATATTTTGATCACGAAACTACTAGTTCACTCCCAGATATGACTACAGCTAAATGAGAAGACTGTCAACCTTGCAGTCAGATGATTTGACGTACCTTTCAGTTTTTGTGCCAGTCTAAACAGATAAAATAGGCGATGATTCTTCTCCAAACAAAAGGACTCAACACAGAGAAGGAAATTTCTTCTCTCTCCAGGTATACGCACCTTTCAATAGGCAAGGGGGAACAAGATGCCTCACTTAAGGACTCGGGTCTGCTTTGTCGCTGCCGGAGTAACAAATTTGGGGAGAAATGGAAAAGCCTCCATTTTGTATCAAATTTGAGTTCTTAGTGAATATTGTGCCGAAGAAGGCATTCATCGGCTTTCCACACCGCGTGCATCAGTAGACTCGAAACGTAACAGTTCTCAACCTAAGGTGGGGGAACCATGCATAATTGGCTTTGAGGGCTTTACTTAATAAGAGCACATTTAAAGGCAAAATATTATGACCAAATGAATTTGTCGTATAAGCCTTTGTCAGCTTGCTCTTTCGAATGCTGCATGGATAAGGCCTTCCATAATTTGAACAACCGCTCACTTGAAAAAGCGAATGACTGAGAAAACACTTCATTTTAGACGGATTCGACAGTCAGAAAGGGTGTACCATGCAAGCTACAATGAACTGTAGGCTTCTTTGTGAAATACCCAAAAATTATTTGTTAAGGGGGAGAGTGCAGCCGATGAAAGCGGTCATCTAGGGCAATTCGAGTGGGACCCCAAATAGACGACAATATAACAAAACAAACGACGGCTGTGATTGAGGTACCTATGGTGGCAGCTTTTTACTTCACATTATCCCCTTTCCAACCGTTATACCAGTGTGATCAATTAGCACTGCAGGCAAAGATGCGCGTCTCCCCATGCATTCGTGATTTGAGACCTAAAAGGAACAAACGCTCCTTCCCTAATGGAAGGCATATTCCAAGAAAAAAGAAAGCCTTTGAAAATGACCCGGAGACTGGAGCATGAGGCAAAATCAGCAGGCACGAATACGATGATTCGGGGAATTTGACTCCAAAATGGAAATAAATTTCTGACGAAATTTAGTCAACCGTTTCATGACACTAGTACAAAAAGAGCAGCTGACGGATAAAAATAATAAGAGAGAGCCATTGTAGGAGCTTTTGAAAACATGGGTAGGACTATTTTCACTGTCGAAAGCCACAAACCTACTCACTTGAGGCTGACAGAAGTCATACTTCAACGGCTTTTTAGTGGCGAACACTAAAAATAAGGAGGAAGGCACTGTGTACGAGAGCACACAAGGCTCAAGGTGAGGATGGAAAGAATGCAAACAGATGAACGAATTGTTTAGAAAATGGTCCACATTAAAGTCGACGGGATATGAAGGACACCGCCCCAGAAAATGTTACCTTCGCATAAAGTCATTTTTACCTCCACCACGACGGATAAGGAAATTTTGTTCGGAAAACGGCAATAATTAAGACACAATCATAGAATCTAGAAAAATAGCAGCGGAAAAAAGCACTAGGCGATAACCCGGAAGAGGTCACTCACAAAGGTGACAAAAAATATTATCAATGTCAAAAACCACGTGCATTTTCATCTAACACCTAAAGGAGTCGTGCTTCAATGCTTCGATTAGCGACAAATGAAAGAACCAGGAGGAAGGCAAGTGGGGATCTGGGTAACACACAAAACCACAAATACCGATGATCTCTTCAAAACAACGAAGAACGCACCCCCAAATTGAGTAGGAATAAAGAATACTGCCCCAGGGAGAACCATTACTGCATGGAAATGTGAAATCAGCTTCAGATGAGTTTATCAACAGACAAGCTCTTGAGCAACCCATTAGCTGAATGCAACTGATTTTAGCCAAGAAAACACAGGGATTTGCAAGCTAATAACGATTCACAAAAATATCTGGTACAAACCGGGCGCCCTTGGTAATAATGTGGGCTTATGGCCTTCTAGGTAAAACCAATGGGTTTTCCAGTTAAAATATTTTCGCTCTAAAATTTCCTGCCACAATTCAGCAGACAAGTATTCACAAAAAATTGCTTTTCTCAGACGACGACAATAAGATCGAAATTCTAGAGTAGAACAGTTTGCACGACCGCAGGAGCCTAATTCGAGAGTATTTAGCAAAAGCTTGAGTTAAAACGCACTTTTATGCAATTGTACTTGCGCATATTTTTCCTACTTTTAGCAGCTACGCAGACCTTAAACCAGTTGAGCAAAATTTCCCTTACCTGCAAAACCTGTGCGCCAGCTAGGACCTGTTGAACCAGATGATCAGTGACAGCTCTAGTCAGCAGTCCAAGAAGACGATGACTGGGCTCGGGGTAAACATAGAGCCATCGTTTTGACTTGGCAAAGGTCTTGGAGCCCCCACCCTCGATCATGTAGGTCATGAGGGTCCAGGGTGCCCCCGCAAAACCGATAAGAGGCACGCGACCTTCCAGTCTATGTCGTGTTAGTCGCACCGCCTCGTAGACGTAATGCAAAAGAGATTTTATATCCACCGACCAGTCTAGACGTAGCAAATCCTTTGGGTCGCTCAATGGGGTGGATAGCTGTGGTCCAACACCTGGCTCCATCACCACTTCCATGCCTAGAGCCTGGATAATCGAGATTGCAAAGCTCAATGTGTCTACTCAAACTAAATAAGTATATCTTTGTGAAACGAAATCACGGTTGAGGCAGACCTGTGGAATGACCAAAATATCGGAAAATATAATGGCCGCGTCAAGACTAAAACGGCGGATAGGTTGGAGGGTGACTTCGCAGACTAGTTCAGGAATGCGACAGATCTCAAAGAAGTCATGATCCTTCCTGACAGCTTGGAACTCGGGCAGGTAGCGACCGGCTTGGCGCATTATCCATACCGGAGTGTAGGGTACGGGCAAGCCCTTGCAGACGCGCAAAATGGTGTCATTTTTGAGGATAGGAAAGTTTTCAATCTTCGACATGGTAGTTCTAGAATGGAGGGAGAGAATAGTCGCCGAGTGACCGATGAAACGTCAATTGATATCATTTCGGCCAAAAGTATGAATAAAGGCGTCTCAAATTTAGTCCTATAGCGCGTATCTAAGAAAATTGAATGGAATCGATACAAAAAAGCATATTTTTGGGATAACTAGGGCGCTTTCACTATCCTTACGCGTCAAAAGCTATTCAATAAATAAAACATCTGGTGCGAACTGCAACAGCTGGAAACGCAATGCAATCGACCCAAAAATCCCAATAACAGTACCTTTCTCAAAGTAGAAATTTAAACATCTCCAAAACTAGGACAAATCAAAGAATTATGCAGGAGGAGTTAATGTGTTGTGCATTTACTCAAATATGCGAGGAAGGTCAACATTTTACGACGTTGTACCACTCATGTGGTTAAAAGGGAGGTCCAGCCCAACACCATTAGAGCACATCAAGACAGTTATAACTTAAAGCATGAAAAACTGACCAAGACAATCTCCGGGATTTCGGTGTTTAAAGTCCCAGCACATACCGGGTAATGCCGAAATTACCCCATAAAATGAAATCCAATAACGTTCCATTATCTTGACATCAGAGATAAGGGCCAGTCAACCGTGAGTTGGTTATACCTCAAGTAGCCAATGAATATGATATTTTCAGAGGATGAATTAGAAATAGCGGTGAGGATGATATACCCTAGGTACAAGTGATATCCTAGATAACGTACGAAATTGCAAATATGCACCCATACACGACGGCCGGCAAACCGCCCCTCGATGATTAGCCAGGGGCTTCACTGGGCAGCACCCAATAAGGGGACGCATAGCAGACCATGCTGATGATGCGAGTCGAAGATAACCTCCCTTGATGGAACCTTGTTGAGAGCAAACACTGACAAACCTGAATTTACCTACTCTTAAAAAATGAAGTAAGGTGGCTACCAACCACATCTATTGCACAAATAAGTCTACACAACGTACCTGGTAAAATGTTAACAACTTTGAGCTTATTTTAGGGTTTCATTGCATCTACTACGCTCAAACAAAAAAATTCATGAAGGCTACCAGAGTAATATTAAAAAATACGACTGCATGAATATATCTTTAGGATAAGAAGTAGCCAGTATTTGTGAACACCGGAATCGAGCCGACGCCGTTGCCCCCAGAGGAGCAAATGAACGCTGAGATAAAGCAATCGCGATCCACTATACACGTTTGCAACACTAGTCATTTAAAGGTACCCTCACCTAAGCCATGTACGTAATTTACTGGCAAGAAGGCAAGGGTGCAAGAGGGCAACACTGAACCTATTGCAATATGAAGGCTGAGATGAGTTTATAAGAATGGGGTGAGCTCTTACAAATTTTTGAATTCCACTCACTTACAGCCTTGTTTTGGAGGGTTTTGTGTGGTGCCACAACACCGAGTGCATAAGAAGCGCTTGTAATTTACCGTTCTAAGGGGTTTCTTGAGTTGCTTTGCAATGCTCAACGTGCTCGCCCATCTAGTGCAAATGGCTTGTGCCTTTTGAATGGTAGCTTATTGGTAATTGTTTCTCGTTATATCTTCTGGACTAACTTTAAAAGAGAGAATAATGTGATTTAATTGTCTTGGCAATTATGTAATAATAAAATGGTTGCCTATAGGTCTGCAAAACATGACAAGCAATAAACCTTTTTTTAAATACAAAAATCCTCATATTTTTAACCATCCTACAAGAGCTAAGGCTCTTTTTTGCTGTCTGGCCGTTGTGACTAAAGAAAATGTTGATCGTATTCGCATGGCATTGGGTTGCAAGTACGTTAACTCTTTAGCCTCCTCTTTTCCAACTGGGTAATACCCGTAATTGATCCGCTAGTGGCTATACGACCCGTATGTCCATTTTATCTCGCGTGAAATCATCGCTTGATATGGGAAATTGTCTCTATTAACCCATAAATATTATTATTGTTATTGCGCTCAAGTTCCTATTTCTTCGTGCCTTTGTGTCCCGAATCCCCTCTTCCATATCTACTTATTTCACGCAACAACTGAGATTTTGCATTTCATATTTCATGCATATTCTTGTTGTCCATTCTTTAAACGCTTTGAATACCTGTCGATTGTCTTATTTTTGACTTTGCGAAGTGAAGTCGTATCTATGAAGGCCCTCATACACAACAGGAAATTCCACTATCATATCCTTTGATGTTTTGAGAAATATTAGTGAAGCTTTCCTATTCATGCTTTATTGAGTATATTGTGATATTCAGCAATCTTTTTCAATCTTGAATATATGCTTGTTTGCTTGTCCTTTGCATGTTGCAACGTAGATCAGTTGTGACACTTCTACCAATTTTTTTCGTAGACACTAGTTTCAGGAGATGTTTTAATGAAAATGTGCTTTTATTTGTAAACAGTAGCATGTCTACAGTATCAGCTGACGAATGCTACTCCAATGTGGACAGTCTAGAAGAGCTGCGTCGCATCTGTGGCGAACGAGATGCCACCATAAACAAGTTAAAAATACTTCTCGTCCGCAAGAACAAGACAATAGCCTCTCTAGAAGAGGAAGTCTCTTACCTTAAGACTGCTAACCAAATGGTGGACCAACAGACAGGTGAAACGACCAGTGAAGTTGCCAAGCTGAAGAGTATTCTTTCTCGTCAGCAAATCGATCTTGAACAAAGTAAAATGGAAGTGGAAACCCTATCTAAAATGAGCAGCGATTTGCAAAGATCTTTTGCTGCGGTGAAACAAGAGCGAGATACCTTCAAATCCGAGGTATCCCGGCTTATGAATGATCTGGTTACCGCTAACGCTCAAACCACGGAGTTGTACGCCATCGCCTCCAAATGTTCACCGCTACCCAACAATTTCCTCACTCATTCCCACAATCAACACGCATTTATTCTTGCCACTTTCAAGAACCTTGCTGAAGGTAATAATAAATCAAACCCCGATTTACCTATCCTTCATGTACTCCGAAGTATTCAACTCGAGATGGATCGATTGCGGGGTATCAAAGGAGCTGATAGTTTAGTTGTCAGCAGTCCAGGGGAGCTGCTTCCTCTCTTAGAAGGATTTTCCACATATCTGAAGCAGTGCTCACCAGATCGGCTGCGACTATCACTGCGCGTACATGAGGACAAGATTAGGTCCTATTTCACAGATATTTCACGCTCTCACAATGAAGTGACGTCATTGCTCAAGGATTTCACACGGTTCTTCAATTCATCTGTTCAGCTAATTTTATCTACTGTTAATAAATTGGATTCCCATTCACCACGTCATGTAAAGACAGATTTGCTTCACAAGGAATTTTCGGTTCTGAAAGGCGATTTAGATTCTATAAAGGATGCTATGATGCTGCATATGTCATCGTTTGTTGAAAACACTTCCGCGCTAAGAAAGCAGATCACATCCGCTCTTATTAGCAAGTCGCTGCCAACGCAGACACATCACTCTCCCACAGTGGATGATATGATTTCGCATAACTTCAAATTTAGATCAATCCTTTCTGTCGTCTCTTCACTTCAGAACGACTTGACAGAAGTCAAGACAACAGTAAGTCAGTGGTTGACTTCGCTACAGGCTCAAATCCATGATATTCAGCACTTTCACGGGAAACTCATATCGGAAATCAGTCAGCGGTCGCCACCACCGCCGCCATACAGTGAATGCATCAATGTTCCCAATTCGTCCACTTTGGAAGCTCTTCTTACTGACGTTTGGCAACTCAAAGACTCTCTGTCGGGAGTGAGATACTCCCTTACAGAGGAGTTCTTGAGTCTTCAAAAACATGTGAAGGGTATTGAACTTATCCGCCGCAAACTTATGTGTCAACTGCACAACAAAGTCACTAAGTTGCGAAGTGACGCAACTGATATCCGCAGGGAGATGCACGAACTTGTCTCCTCCTCGAATCACCAAATCACTGCCATTACCACTTACGTCCACTCCATCGAAAACATGCGACTTAAAGGCTTTGAGGAGGTCCAACGTCAGCGTTTTAAGGACTATGATCGTCTGGTGCGAGATAAAGAGTCCGAGATTGGTCAGTTGAGGGAGTCTTGCGACCGCCTCTCCGATGAATGTGACCGATTTGGTGCGATGCGAGAGGCTCTGCGCCAACTAATTCTCACTTCGGCTACTTCTTCTGTGTCTCTTAGTGGTCTTAGCACCGAAGATGCTACTCTAGTCACTGATCTTTCCAGCCACCTGAATCGCTCGCAAGCAACACAGCTAGAGTTGGTTGAGCAAACACAAGCAATCGCCTCTCTTCAGTCCGATCTAGCCGCCAAGACTGCGGCACTAGATGCGGCAGTAGTGCGGGCGACTGAAGCCGAGACAAGTGCTGCGGAGTCGGCAGCGGAGGCGTCCGGACTGCAGGAAAAGCTGAATTTAGTGAAAAGACTCCTAGTGCGTGTACGAAAGGACGCCTCAGAGACGGAGAAGCGTGCGCTGCGGGTAGTAGAGATGGAGGCAAAGGTAACAGAGTTGACCCAGGCTTTGGATAAATCGCAGTGCCACGAGGAGGCAGCACAAGCGAAGCTGGCGGAGGTGATGGCGGAGCGAGAGAGATTGGTGGGGAAAGTAGCCTCGTTGCAGAAACAATACGAATCCTACAAAGTCAAGGTAATTTTATGTTGCATTTATCACAGGTGTTGTTTGTTCCAACGGTGCCTTTGTGTTGCTGTAACTCGGAAATATAAAAGAACTGATTCGGATCGTACACCCAGTAGCAATACGTCAAAGAATTTAGTTCGCAGCGATCTCATTGATGTAGACTGTTGACGATGATTCTCATGCACCAGTAATTCGATAAGGGTTCAAGTTGTTTGTAAGGTGTGTTGTCCAAATTGCTGCTATTTGTTGGTACATAACTCTACGTATGTAATTTTTTACCCTACAAAAGATTGTGGTAAATGACGATCTGCATTTGCATAGAGGAGGAGGCTGAATGAGTTTTTATTTGCTGTACAAGTTTCCTCGTGCCTGCTTGTTAAAATAAACTATTTAAAAATATGCTTTATGAGCAATGTGTATAGTCATTCGTCCATAAATCTGCATCTCTCCTCAAAAAATGTCATGCCGCCTGCCCAGTTCCCAGTAAATGTTGTTAGCTCTGGTCTTTTTTTTCACTGGCGATCAATCCAATCTTCTACGCTATTAATTTTGCACCCCAGTTGGCACATAAAACAACCTATGGAAAATTTTCTCCATTGCTGGCTAGAAGAATCCTTATGCAAGAAATGCCGTATATTTGTGTCGTCTTATATAACTATTCTCTAGATGTTCCTCATCATGTCCACAGTATATTTGCTTCCGTAGCATAGGCGGATTCGATTGTGGTCAGTTAACCAAGGCGTCTTTGAATAGCACTCATTCTAATTGTGGCTTTGTTCACTCTAGGCCCTGCTTGCGTTGCGCAACGGCAAGGAGCACCCAGAGGAAGGCAACATCACAGGTGATAGTAGCAGTGGTACTGGAACTGAAGGAATCGGAGGTGGCGCCAGTACCCCACTGTCGTGGCGCTATGAGTGCTCTAGTCTGGTGCAAACCGAGGTGGTGCGACTTAAGGAGCGAGTAAGAGAATTGGAAGCTTTGTTGGGGCAGACCACCGCTCGGCTCAACTCTGCACTGATTGACCTTGAGGCAGCTAACTTCGCACTGGCGGAGGAGAGGGAGAAGTGAGTCTAGTCTTTCCTAAGTCTCGGGATTTTTTCTCTCCTCGCTACCATCCACCACTTCCACGCGCGAATTCGTTTGAAAATGTGTCTGAAATAGGCGGTTGACCGCTCGAGGCTGTTGTGTCGATCTAATGTTTGTCGCTATCTCAGTCGGTTTGCCAGATTTCGGTGCACTCACCTGTTGTGGCGCCTTTGTGAATTTAATTAAGATTGTTTTACGAGATGTTAGTTAAGGCTAGATGGCATTCTGCAGCAAGCACAGTTTGGAAGCCAGTGCTTCCTGTTTTTATCCCTTTATCCCATTTTACCGACATCCGAATGTTGCCCAGCTGCCCATTGAGATCATTCTAACCGTTTTTGCAACAGCGTGTTCGATTCTCCCAATTATGATCATTTGTCAAAATTGGACCTATTTTCATCCCTGGCCATTATTGAAGACTTCCAATTGGATTGTTTGCTCAAAGTCTGCTGTGAATCGGAAGATTCAGTAGACGTCTTTCTTGACGTTTGGCGTGTTAGGACTCTGTGTCAACAGCGCAGAAACTGTATTACGGAGGATCGAAATGAACTACATGCTCTTGAAAATGCTTATTCGGACATAAGCCTTGTGTTGTTTTGAGCGTGTCACTGGTGCTCTCCATGGTCTCTAACTTGCTTTTACCAGCATAAGTCCGAGTTTACTTGCAACCTGTTGCGAGACAGGAAGAAGACCGAGAAGACTCCTTATCTCACAAAGGGTCAAACATTACTTTATTTTGGATGAGATTCCTAAATACCATGGTCTGTTGAGAATGTATTCATAGGAAAGGCGGTGCTGGCGGCTAGATGGTGTTCTACAGTGGCCCTACCCTGTAGACCATCCATATTTCATATCTTTTCCTCATCAACTTTGAACGGGCCTTTTCTTCATCACCCGATGTCTTGGTCCTTCCATTGAAGTTACATATCTCTAAATGCTCATTTGTGAAGAAATTCGCTATTGTTTCTTAAATTTTCTTCTCTCTTTTGAAGGGGACTCATTAAAATGCATTCACACGGCAGTCATCAACATTTTGATTTTGGAGACAGGGATTTGTTAATTCGGTGCCTTTAGTAAATTCAACCAGCCATTTCGCGAACCCTCCTTTCAATGACTTTTGCTGTTATATAATGACAACCTTTAATTGGATAACTCCATAGCTACATAGCTCTACACCATTAGAAACCAACTAAATTCTTTTTTCCTGCTGGGGATGAACCCACGAAGATCAAATTTTACCTTAGATTTTCGGGAGTAGGGTTTCATGGAAGGCTGAATTTGTACACACTCTTGGAATGTACTAGATTGACCTGTTAATTTAAGCAATTTAATTAAAAGCTGCTGCCAATCGGTAGCAAAAACGGCATCGGTGTTTCCGCATGACCTCTATTGGATTGTGGTGAATAAACGCCTCGCTTTCTACGTTAAACCCGTTGTTTTGCATGAATAGTCTGGTTTTATGTGTGATTGCCTAGACGATATGTAGAATGACCAAATGTAACCACCGTTTTTTGTAACTGCTACGGCAATTAAGACATTCTCTGCTCTCTACATACATTTAGGAGGCCTTTTTACTCTAGCGTGTGTGGTGCTTCTTGGTCATTGTAGTGTTCCCAACCCTCATTCTATCTGGAGAAACTAGCTATTGTAAGATCATTGTTGTGTGTTAAATGTATGACTATTGTCTTTGTTGAAAAACTCGTTCAGGAAAGGCACTCTTTCACATGTAGTGCTGCGGAAAGTCTCTTAGGATCTTTTCTTAGTAAAAAATAACCACCATTGCGGAGGATGAGGTAGTGTAATTCCCTCCCTTTCATGCTAGAGTGCGGTGTAAGGTTTTGTGGTTTGTTTTCTTTTGCGAACAGGAACAAAATTTCCTCCCCACCACCTTACGAATCCAATCCATCCTGGCTGTTTTCAAGGCGGATTATTTACACGTCTTTGAAGTATGTAAATCTGAAACGCATTTATTGGCCTTCAGAAAGTGAACAATCACTATACACATGACATAGGCTGAATATCACATGCGTAGGCTTGTGTGAATAAAGTGGTGGGCGCCAAAAGTCTGGAGGAGTGATTGGATCGCTTGAAGATGACTGATGATACGCTTATTCTTTTGCACATAAACTGTGATATTTACCTCTTTTTTGACCTTTTAACTTGATGAAAATGATGACTTAACTATCACGACAATTTTATGAGCTTTTTTAGGTAATTCTTAATTGAAGTGGTATGTTGAACTCATATAAAATCCACAGACCCCTCTCCTAACGACAAATTTGGTTACAGCATAAGGAGTTGGAAAATCTCACCATTGTTGAATCTAACGTGACATTAGTTGAATGGACCTGGTTACCATGTTGCGACTTAGTTGCCGTATGACCTAGGAGTACATCATTGTCTGACCCCACCGGTGTGAGGGTCGTAACATAGTTTACTGGAAAAAATAATTATTTGCTACTGTTACGGAATTTTCAACTAGCTTGTTAAATCTAACGATTCGTAAAACTTCCCTCCTTGGTGATTTCAATCCTTTCAATGACAGCAGAAAATCATCATTTGTTACTGCTGAAGTGTTTCTCTGAAGAAAATTTATGGTTACGTTACTGCCTTTTTGAAGACAAAGCACTCATTTCTTTTGGAAGAAGACCACGTCTTCTTGATTTTATAAAAATGTCCTGAATTGATTTCACTTCAGCGTCGTATCTTTATGTCAAGTCGGAGACTGATTTCATCATTGGTGTTGCAAGTATTCGCATCGGTTTTATTTTACGTGAATGGTTCTCCAACAAACGCTTTTTACGGATTTTAAATTACAGCGCCCATGTTCTCCTAGGCTCTCTGCCACATGGACCAACTCTCAGAATGGATGTAGGGCAGTTGAGCTACATCCTTAGAGGTGCCATCTCACCTTGCCAGAGGCATAGTAACCAGACTTTGTTTTGCATCAGAGGGGGCTAGCAATTTATCCTATCGGTACTTGTCATGTGATCACTGGTGTCTGGCAAGCTGACTTTGCCTTTCGCCTTTTGGTGCAACCTTTTTTGCATTGAGGTCAACATAGTCGAGGTGCAATACCTCGTGTCTGTTTCACAAAGAAACAACTCTTTTATGTAAGCCGTACTGCCTTAGTTTTCTTGTGTCGTTGACATCATGTATCGAAGGAAACGTCAAAAAGTTGACCCCATATCTGGTAAGCATTGCAATTTAGGGTAGGGATTGTCATGCTGTGAAATTTATTGCATTTCTCCGGTAGAGCCATCCATTGATAAATTGGAAAGGTCGGAAGTAGGATTGATGAAGAACCTCTAGAATGTCCGGCCGGCTACAGTTACAACCACAAGGATTATAGCCAGAACTTGGGAAATGAAAGACTTGTGGCGTTGGACCCTTCCATGCTCTCATTATGGCAGTCTTGAGCGTAGTGTTGTGCCAGGTAGGCTATTAAGCAATTCACGAACTATTTTAATTATCCGATGAAAAGAGATGAGGAATTTTTGAGCGACTTTGATCCAGACAACTGTCTAGCATGAATGTGTTGCTCATGTATTTCAGATGGACATTTTTTTCTTGGGTGTTCTCAAATTCTAGACTATGTATGTCGCCCACACACTGGCCCCTAACCTATACACATAGAGGGCAAAATCCCCTACTCTTGCTGGGGCGCCACTGCCTCGCGAAGGAAGTGACACAAACTACGTCTCAGTCTTTAACTCCTCTTTATTCCGGCAGTCTGCTTTTTAAGTTACTGTCATCTTTATAAGTGTTGATTAAGTATGGAAATCAAATAGCCAAATGGGTTTTTGAGCATGCCTTAGGTGGGCAGAGGCAATAGACTTTTTTCGTCGATCACAAACTTTCAAGCCAAATTCTGGGTAAAATCCAAGGTCTGGAATCCAATAGCCATCTGCTCCATACTCGAAAGTCTTTTGGTATGCTTAATGGTCTGGCACCGTGCTGACATCATCAGTGAACCCTCATGTGATAACCTGATTAATCAAGTGAAGATATTTAACCGCTTAGAGTGGTTAATTGGTAGAAGTTGACCTTATGTGTTGGGAAAATAGCGCTCCATAAATGACACTGACAAGCCACGAAAACCTTTAATTCTTCCTCAAAAATATACCCGAAACATTTTTTTTCGAAGTGTACTTCACCAAGCACGTCACCTTCGACACTTCGACAGGTTAAGCAGTTGCAGAATTAGTGTTAAGCACAATGCCTAATTACTGAAATGTTCAACTCCCTCACTCTTGCCCATCGTAGAAAGGAGGTTTCATTTTAAACCTAGTAGATTTTAGGGCTTACAAAGTGGAGGATAATGGGCATTTGATGCGGCAAACTATCTCTGAGGCCTTTGAACCAGTGTCAGGTGGTAAACATTTCATTCTCGTCTTGGCGAAGGAAGATAGATTGTAGGGAGGGTCATTTCAGCGGACAAAAAGGTTTTAAAAGCTTTCTCCAATTATTGGGCTTCTATTGCATAGAAGGCACGAGCTTATTTGGCTCCCGTCTTGTGCGTTTTACGCGTCAGTCGAAAGTAAATTAAGTCGTAAACAAATGAAAAAGTTACATTTTGTGTTTTCTTTGTTGATTCACCAAAGCTACTCATATAAGAACCCCTTTTTTAAACCGGTATTATAATCTGGTCGAAAATTAACCTGTAACCCTTTTTGAACTTCAGAACTTTGAAACACATCTCAAGGCTGATAAGGACCATAAAGTGCTGCTGAAGAATACCTCTGCTTTTGCTATTCGTACACATTTCTTGACGGTTTACCTTTTCCTAGGTGTAGCCGCGTGTCCCACAATCTGGAGTCAGAGCGTGCGCAATGGCGTGAGGAGCAGGAGGAGTTGAACACCCGGTGGCGCAGCGAAACAGCTACGCGAGTGGCTGAACTGACGACGGCGCTGGATGCGGCACGACAGGAAAGTATTCAGGCGCTGTCCACTCAAGCTGAGGAGTTTAACACTGCTTTTGGGTGAGCCTCCTTTCCTTCTTTCCTTTTTTGGATGCGAGAACTGTTCCCCATGCTCAGATGTCTTACTAATTCTTCTACTACTTCATCGTGGTTCTTTAAGTAACTACATGGAAGAATCAGGATCTAATTTCTAGGCTTAAGTATATTTTTGAGTATTTTCCTCCGCCACGTTTCTTTGGTTTACTGTGACTTTGCCTTGCCATTTTTGGGAAGTGAAAAGTAGACGGCTGGTCTTTGAGGCTTACTCCCTTTCATCGACTGTTAATGCGTGTAGGTGGCACCCGTCGGTCTGTAATGGTTTTCATCACGCTTTCACCTTCCAAGTTGGTGCCACCTATTAACCCTCCCCATGTGAGAGTTCCGACATCACTTTCGTTTGTTTATTGCTGCTTGAGGTTTTAATCGTTTTTCCTCTGATTGAAGATGTCATCAAAGCTGATCACCCATCCCTTTGTAAAGGTGGTGCTTTCAATTTTTTGGTTACAAAAGAACTCTGAATTTTGCCTCCGCTGTTTGATTTATGATATCGTGGTCTGAAAGAAGTGGATGGCTTCCGGTCAATCCCCTACTGCATCAATGTCACAGCCCTTGATATGCTTACCGCTATGTTTGAATCGCTGCCATCTGAGTTAAATAAGATACAGCCATACCCAAAAAGCGTCGAACTTGAATGCGTTTTAGTGAGGTAAGTGGGACTGAAATGCTGTAGTAATTTTGAATTATTTAATTTGGGAAATAGGTTATAGGTGTCAAAACTGTTGCACAGTATTACTTACGCATGGTTGTTTGAAGTTTACTTAATGCTCTACATGTATCGTTTGTACTTTTGTGCCTTTGCATTGTGATTTCACTCTAGCAGTGACCACTGCGTGTGAATTCCCTTAATTTGAGATGTGGGCGTTCCCACAACTACGTAAAAGCTTGCTCCTTCACCCTAATGTCCAACGTGCACCCAAAGGTTATTATTTTTCGCATAGAAGTGTAGCACTTTGAGTCCTGAAGAAAGTTGCAATAAGCAACAACAGTATGGAAGAAATGTCTACCTACTGACGTACAGAAAAGCTGCGGCCCAAAGGCCATGCCACCGAGCTAAAATACAATCTGTGGAACTTAATTTGTCGCATAATCAAACGCAGAACCAAACAGACTATCAAAACATTACAACTAACATGATCTCTCGATCGTGTCGCAAAGTACAAGTACGATGCGTGGATGGTGAACTCCTCGCGTAGTTGGACATACAGTGAAACAAACTATCAAATCACAAAAGGAGTCCATTTCAGTACGTTATTCTTAATTTAGGGGTAGATTTTGAGAAAAATGTTATTTTTTTGAGTAGTATTTACTAAGGTAACCTTTTGAATTGTTTAAATCTTTGTGTAAAAGGGACTCGTCTAGCTGGAAGCGTTTTTCTTGACTGGCATCGAGGTGAAGCGACCTGAAGTCGTATATTAGCAGACCATTACATTTCAAAATTGAGGAGTAGTCCCTTCCTACCAAGACAAAAGCTTGTGGATTATGTATGTAGAGGCAAACAAGTGGGCCCCGCCGACGCCTCAAGTTTACCTCTAAATTGCCTTTCTATTGCGTTCATGTGATTGTCTACCGCCAATGCCATGAACAGGCGCCATCAGGAGTACTCCAACTGTACTAATTATGGTAATTCCTGTTTGTGGCTTTGCCACACGCTTTGTTGCGCCATACTCTTCACCTACAGTAATCAAAAGAGTCCGCTCTGTATTCTTCTGGGTACTCACTAATCTCTCATTTTATCACACAAGGAGGATTTGCTTCCAATTTGACGGTTTGCAAAATGTCTTTTCTAAAAACATTTTCATATTTTTATGGCCTGCACCTTATTTAATCCGCTTCATGCGGAATTATTGGAGATTAGGGGAATTTCTACCTGGTTCCACCCCAATCACGATTACACATTATCATAATGAAAGGCGTATCTATGTCACTTCGAAAATTTACTCCTTCGCGTTTTTGCCTGAATGCATCACTTCGTTGCTCCAATCTGATCGTACTACTTATTGGTCAGTACTGCTTATAAATGGTGGGCATCAGGTGACCAAATTGTTCGCGCAGTCTTCGGTATAGCTTGCTGAGATGACTTGTTGTTGCATGTAGAAACTTGTCAAACAAATACCACTTCTTGTGTGTGCATTATGAAGCGTAGATGCACTTTGACACATTGTTACAGTGGCCTCTGGTGTGCTCTCTCTTCCCGCATTCCATGAACCCGATGGATGTGAATTGGTTTCTGTCTGTTTCACAAAGTAACGCTGCGGGGGCCTCTCATCATATTTATTTCGTAGCGTCTGGAGGAGATGGAGTAGCAGAATGCGGCAGTAGAATGTACCGCTGAGGAGTGTTACAGGCGAACCACTTAATTCTGGTGATGTGCAATTCAGAAATGGTGGTGTATCACTTTCAGAAAGGCCCTCAACTCTTGATCATGAAGGATTGTGTGTCGTTTTCTGTGGAAAAGACGTGAGACCAATGTGTTAGCAATTTTTCTTGACGACCAAGGTGCTGTGTGAAATAACTGGTTCACGCCTATGTCAACTTGGAAGACAAATTCATGGTGGGGGCTACTAGTCTATTTTGAATTGCAGAAACGTCTCCTTTTTGTATTTTACTGTTATGTTTTTTAGGCAAACGGTTCACTTGCTACTCACTATTCGTTCCAACGGCACCTTCAAGTCTATATGGCGTGTTTATGTGTGGTAAACCGCAGATGAAATTTCTTTTTCCCTGAAGGCTAAATAACAGTGCCAGCTGAGGCATACGTACTCTCTGCGGCAGCTCGGTGTGCAAGGAATCCTTCAGAAATAGCTAGATTTGGTGAATCAGTCTGAATGAAGGTGATGTAATGTAAAACTTTATCCTTTCTGCCTCTTCCTCCGCATTCTCCGATGATGATTCCCCGGGTGATGGTTATCACCTCTCTTCGCTATTGGCATTGTTATTTAACAATCATATGGAGAATAAAACGAAATATTTTTTCGGTGATAAAAGTAAATAAACGTGAAACTAGTCGAATTCGCAGCCAAGGCGAAATTAAAAGCCTTATTTGTAATCATCAAAGATTCATTATCGTTTGATAGAATCCTCCCCTTTCTTATTGTTATCATACTGGCTATATCTCCTAACAATGCGGCATATTTTAGTGATCATTTTAACTGGGTATATGCCAGTCATTTCCTTCTAGCTGGCGTCTCCAAAATACCTTTACCTCGTAGCTGTCTCGATTTTATTTTGTTTCAAAAGCTAGCCCTCCATCCAGCCAACTCTTATTTCCTCTTATTCCTCTCCATCTGGAGTCAAGAGTCCTAAAACTTCCTAATTTCGGTTATGAAATACCTCCCTAAAGCATGTTTATCTGGATTAATTTCCTCGTTCACTTTGCACTCGGGGCTTTCAGTAGAGCCTTTGGCTTGTGATGTTACTTCCTATGGACATATTCCCTCAATCATCGTATTTAAATACCCAAGCCTACTCCTTGCCGGCATCCCCACTTTATACTTCATCCAACCCGTTTCTTTCATTTAGCGCCAAAATTGCAGAGTTGCAGTTTCAGTTGGATACCGCCGAGGCGAAAGTGGAGGCACAACGCCTAGAACTGTTAGAACAGGCGAAGATTGTTCAACTCACCGCCCAACCGCCTAATTCTCAAACGTCACAGGAGCATCTCTGCTCTCGTTGCGGTCGATGTCTTAGTAACGGCGGTAGTGGTGGTAGCGGTGACTTTGGCGACAATGTCACATCACTCAGAGGAGTACGTTCAATTCAGATTTCTCCTTCAATGTCTTCTATTGCTAGTAGATGGCAGTAAAGGTGGATTAAGACTAGATAGACTTATCATCCCTTCGTCCGAGAGACTGCGGTGAACTGGAATCGTTCTTGAACTTGGGCATTTTTCCCTCATACTTTGTCTCTTGGTCCGTTTTGGACAAAGTGGGCAACTAAACCAAATTATGCCCCTTGCATAATCCCCCATTGCTGGCGCTTGTTAATGGAGGCGCCTTAAGGCTAAACGGGTTTATCGAAGAGACCATGAGAGAATGGAATTATTAAGGAGAAGGCAGCGGTACTGAAGCGGGATGGTTTTTTAGCTAAGGATTTCCTCTCGGGCATCGCATCTAAACTCTTGTATGATGAATGAGAAAACTTCACCCTCAAATCAATCGCAAAAGCTGAACCGCCATTTGTCATGTGACACTCGAAGAGAAATGTGAAAATGTCTAAACATAAAGCCCAACCCATGGGATTAATGCAATCTACTTTGGTACCATTTTTAAACTCGTTGAATAGGCATTCTCAGACGGACCAATTTGAGACTAAACAACCTCTTCATCCTTTTTTTGATTTTGTCGTGTTGGAACGAGAAGCAACGGAATTGCTAGTTGATTAATCCTGCAGTAATCAAAAGTTGTTTCATATGATCGAGGATTCGCACTGATTGACGCTGTCATCCTAGAAGGCTGAAAACGCCTATAAAAACTCAAAACAACTGTCTTATCCTTGCAATCCTTCCTCCTTCCCAACAGCACCACACACGACCCCTGGAAGAGGCTCTCTTTGGAGACGATAAGATGGTCTCAGTGGATATTCAGGAGGCAGAAAGACAGACCTCAGAAATGAGAAAGACAGTTCAGAGTCTTCGATCCCAGTTGGTCAATGAAAGACGCAATCTCGAGTACACAAAGAGCCTACTGGTGGACAGTGAGGCGACGGTTGAACGTCTCAGTGCCCAGGCCACGGTACGTCTTGCTTGCTTGGACAGAAGACAGCTTTTGTTGTGGCATTTCTTCCATTTTTTCCTCATTTTCTCTTACTCCATATTGCTTGATTTCCCATCCAATCACAAACTCGTCCAGTCATGTGATTTAAAACGTCTTTCTTTTGGAAAATCGAATTGCGTGGACTGTTCCTTCGAAAAATCGAGGTTATTTTCTTTAGGTACTAATATTCGAACCAAAGGGAGTTGTGCTCATTTTATTTTTTAGTTTATTTTCAATTACGACCAAAAAGGAAACTGTAGTCATTAATGGTAGGATGCTAATTCTTCGTCATAATTTGTTCAACACTTCTTCCCAACTGTTGTAACGAATGAGAGGTTGTGCCAGTAAAGGCGTTACCTATTTAAAACCGGGAAAGTAGGTCCAAATGATGCATGCGAACTTCACATCAAAAGAATGTTTTGGGAACGAATTTGTTAACCTGCATGCTTATGAGGCGCGAGCATTGCTACCTCTAAAATGATATTTCGGATACTAATGTGGCGTCCCTCCTGGTGTCAAGCTTCTTAACCATCTTGTCTGCTTTGTCTTGAATTTATCAGCAGTGTTGGAACGGTGGTAAACATTAAACTTGCTCCTAACTCAGGTCAACTATGAAACTGTCATATCAGCTTCATTATCATCCATCTCGATCCTAGTTGCGCCATCTCGCAAACTTGTTTGGAATCAAAGCTAGAATTATCTGCCGAAATCGAGTCCTTCCATTCATCCATCAGTATACCGCCAGTTTTGGTGCCACCTGTAAATGTTTCAGGCGAACCATTCAATTCTGGTGCTGAGTAATTCAGAAAGGGTGATGCCTGCTTTCAGAAAGGCCCTCTACTCTTGATCGGGAAGGATTGCGCGACATTGTTGATTGAAAAGATTCGAGGCTACTATGGTAAAAGCATTTTTTAACGTTGATTCGGCAAATTTTCTTCTCATCATGAATTTAATATCCTCACTGTAGTGAGCCGACGCGGGCCCAGTCATCCACAGTAGATGCCCATCTTCAACGATTTTCTAACTATGGTAAATTCGAGTCACACTTTCCTTTCATCTTCAGATTCTTAAAGCAGAAATTCGTCGCCACGAGCGCAATGCAGAGCGCGAGCGCCATCTAGGCGACCACAACACCAACAGTGACGATACTTCAAACAGCCTAGACGCTGCGCCGGCCGGTGAGACACGTACGGAGTATCTGAAGAATGTGTTGCTTCGCTTTCTCTGCGCTGACCCGTCTCTTGGCGGTGGTGGTGCCAGTGGAGCGTCGGAGCGCAATGCTCTTGTCCCGGTTCTTGCCACGCTGTTGGCACTCAGCCCGACGGAGCGCGCTGCACTGCAACAGGTGGCGGAGACGGGCCTACTTCGTGCCTCCACAGTTACTGCTGAAGATGGAGCTAGTGGAGAGGAGGGCTCCTCCTGGAGTAGTTTTTTACCTTCTTGGCTTGGTGGTTGAGTATAACTGTATATTTTGCATCCACACTTGTCTTTCTTAAGAGCCTACACACCCACCTCGGCATATGTACTTGTTTCTCATTTTCCCCTTTTATTTCGGTCTTTCGATCAAAAGAGTATGTAATTCAGATGTTTTTGCGTGAAGTCTTGTTTTTTGAGTAAAGTTTTATGCTGCCTTTGATTGGACCTGTATTTTACCAAGGCAGATTTACCACAGGCATGGTTTATGAAATGAGATTTGAACTTGATACTTCTACGACCCCTGGTTCTCTCTCTCATGGCCTTTTTTACCCTACAAAACCTTAATTTTTGGGGAAAGTTTCAAAAGGATTGGTATTATAAGGTATGCATTTGTTTATTTCTTGTAACTGGCGTGGAGGACTTTACTTATCTTGCCTGACCCGGTATCTGATCCTACACTGAAGGATCATGTCAGTTAATTCTATAAGCTACGGTCTGTTGCCTTGTCTTTGATAATTTCGTTATGTATTTGGCAGACTGGGGAAAGGGAAAAGCGATGTACCGACTGCGTCAGTTTTTAACCATTTCGGTGGAAACTCATGCCAACTGTTAGCAATAGTTTGTGATTGCTGCTGAACTAACGCTTTGGTGGTACCGTAGCTCTGCTTTGAATCTATTCGAAGGTCTGCCAAGAAGGCGAGAAGTGTCGAATGTCTAATAAGTGGTGAGGCGATTTTCGGCAAGCGTGTAATTCTATTTCCGATTTTATTGCGACGAATCGTGTCCAGTCCAAATCAAGAATTGCCATTTGTTAGTATTCTGCCATGGCAGTACTACATGTAGTGGTAAGTCTCAAATAAGTCCCCTTGGAAGAACTAATGACTGGGCCATAGGTCGTAAGTGTCCCGCTCTGAATATTGTGAACCAAGGTGGTGATGGGCAGTGATGGTGAGTGCATGCATGTTAGGTGTGGGGCCTCATTCTTTTTAATTGTGTACTTTTATGATGTTCCGCCTTTTCTTATTGATGACCAATTCTGAGCACATTATCAGGGTGGAATTTCTTGTTATCACTCAAATTTTGGAGGATGTTTAGTCTCCCCAAATCAGTTAACCCATTTCCCTTTTCAGGGTTTCTGCCACTCGTTTCAAGGTTCTAAATGGACTGAAACGGCTTCATGCAATGTTTGTTCATCATTCATCCTCATTTTTGACGTTGCTCACCTTTCACTATGGAGAGACTCGAGGTGTTGGAGACAATGCAACAGAAGTCCGTGTAGCTGAGCCCTGCGATATCTATGATATGGTACTTAAATCTGATTAAGTAGGCAGCGCTGTTTTGGACTTTAAAGCTCCGGTTGAAGGTTAAAAGGGTTAATGCTTGAGCCTGAACGTCTATCGATGAGAACATCGCAAAAGTAGCTTGAGTAGTAGAAATCCTCTACAACTTTATCACCGCAATGCCAGAAGGTTGTGCAGTCGACTGGGCAGACGAGCAAGCATTGACTGAGAGAAGCAGAGGGGTCACTAAAAGCTCAGCTGCGGCATATCCGTCTCCAAAAGTTGTGGAATTCTTCATACCGGACTCGACATCACAAGCATATGCCATATATTCTTTACCTGTTCACGATGGTTGAAGCTAAAGCTTAAACACAGATTATTGGATTTTTTACAGTTTTAGGCAGCAATTGGATTATTAAAAAGTACTAATTTCAAAATAGGTGCACTTATTTAGATCTGGGCGATATTTTTAGGAACAGAATATGTTCCCCCACTCCATAGTTAGGCGATATCGTGAATTCAAATGTGCGCTAGATGTGCAGCGCCCCAAGACTTCTATGAAGAGGAAAAAAATGTTTGTTAAGTCAAAATGAAGAGTTAAGCAAGCAGTCAAATTAACACAGACCGACACGTTTTAAAGTTCCCCGGTGGTTTGAACTACTCGTTGACTGGTCGAGCTGGGTAGCCAATCGATAAACCATGCTTGTCTGCTCATCGATTTCCCCTCTCATTGTCAGCTAAAAGCATGCGCGCGCTGGTCCTCGCAGTGGGTGTTGTGCTTCTTCACCTCTGCCGTTGTGACGATCAAGTTGTGGAGGAGTTCGACTGCTCCAGCTACTTTTCCAGGGTCCTCACCAATAGAAAGTTGGACTCTATCATCAAAGAGGTATGTTTTGCTGCTCTCCCACTCTTTCATCTCACTCTTAAAATTTGAAAAAAGGACAACGGCGTCTTCATCGCTTTCTTTTGTTTTAGAGCACAAAGAAATTCTGTCCCAAAGGCATGCGCTACCGTATGACTGGATTTGAGTAAACTAGTTTTATACATTATTTATCTTCCTAATGTGAAATCCGCTTTGCCTATTATATAACTAGTTGGGTTTTGGGTGTGAAAATTATAGTTCGATCCCCCTACTTCATCTAACTTTCTTTTTCTAAATTTCCTTTATTTTTGAGTTGCTTAGTAATGAGTTAAATTGGGGCTTTTTGCGACTGAAGTTGATGTTGGTGTTACCTGACAGATGGAATGGAACAACGTGTAAGGTAGAATTCACTTTGGACTCCAATGTGAATATTATGCAAAGGGACAAAGTCTGCTACGACAGTTTTGTCTACATCCGGAAGAACGCGCTGACCAAGGCCTGGGGCACGCCTTGGGGTGAGTTTGTAGCCGGATACACGGCTTATTGGGGCGAAAGGGCTTCTTCTAAAGCTCTTTCTGCTGACAAGTGAGCTGCTGCTTTATGCCATACTAACAGGTAAAATTGTTTCCGACTCGTTGCTATGGCTACTACGAAACAGTTTGCAAGGTAGGGACCAGGGCAAAAAGGACAGTTTGGGTAAAAGTTTGTGGGTTCCGAGTGGATTAGTCTGCAAACATTTTTGAAGATGTTGAGGTGTGGTTCTCATTCACCGGTGGATTAGCCGGTCTGTATTTCCTAAGGACCTACGATTTCTCCAACTTGAAAGGATGTTCATTAACTTTCGAATTTTGCAAGTTTTATTGAAACACACTACTTACTTGATACATGGATTCATCATAAACATTATTGAAATGCACCCTTTTGTTTAAAAATTCCTATCCTTCTTGATTTACCCTTTATGTTGGAATGAACTTAAACTGCGTCCTATTGAGGAGGCAGCCGATTTGAGTAGTCGCTGTACACCTTCGTGGAGTTTGATTGGGCTTGTCTCTTCAGCATCTCAGGCAGCATTTCTAAAGGCGGTTTGCTCGAATTTCAGCCAATTTTGAAATTGAATTTGGTCAAGGAAACTCATAAATGCCTAATCCTAAGTCTGATGATTATAGGCATGCATAGACAAGTTTGGTACTTGAATCCACCAACGGTACTAGTGTGCTTTTTTGCTTTTCATAAATGCTTCTCCATCTTCGTTAGTAGCTCTGATCATTAGAATTGTATTCTGGTGTATAAACGCCACCATCAAAAGAAGAACGAATAAGTTTACTACCAACAGTAAGTAAGACATATTCCGAGTGGCTTTATTCCTTAATGCCTTGAGAAGTAATTCTAAAGACGTTTAAGTTAGGTGATCAGACGGAGAGCTCAAAGGGAGTAAACGAAAAGTCCGTGTTAACCTATAAATAGAGTAAGTAACTGGAGAAAACCTACCAGTTTACATCTTTCACGCATTGAAGTAAAGCGAGACTCCAACTAAAACAGCCTGACTGCAGATCCCGCTTTCATTTCCCACCTGTCTTGTGGTCGACGGCCCAATAACAACGCCAAACCAGAATACAGACGAGGAGAGGGGAGGAGGAGGCAAGTTGAGGCATCACGTTTTCCCGCGGCTACGTCTTGTCTTACGGGCTGAGGTCCTGCGTCGTATTATCTCGTAAGACCAGGACATCCTTTTTACTAAGCGCATGGCGATAACTGCTGACACGTTCGTTACAAAAAGACATAAAAGCCTTTTCTTGACACGAGCTAGGTGGTCGGTCAGGATACAATCCTTTTCCAAAGGTTACTATATATGGGTGGGATCCATTTGGTTGGTAGCTTCCACTAACACTTACCCTTACACAAGTTAATGCAGGTGTGAACCACTTTTTTCAGCATCACTCACCTTAAACATGGCTGGAAAGTGTACTTGAAATGCTAACCTTAAATTACCTCAATAAGTGGTAATGCAATTCTTTCGCCTCGGCTTAATGCAGCCAAATTGAGTGGTTTACCACAAGAACGAAGTCAATTTGAAAAATTACTTTTGGGTGCTGCATTTTACCGCAGGACCTTCTTAATGTGTTTGAAGCTCTTATGGATTTGGGAATGAGTTGATCGGACTTGAATACTTTACGAACTGAGCTTCAAATTCATCAGCTTCAGCTTATTTTATCCGCATTAAAGTTAGAAATAAGAGGACAACAGTAGGCAAAGCAACAGTGACTATTGTTTCATTTTGCTGAGGCAGCTTCGTGTCTATAAACAATCGCGATGGGCTGCTTTGAGAATAACACAAACATTCTAGAATTACAGTTGGTTATTTCCGATGTTTTTAACGTTCTCTACTGAATTGCTTTAGTAAATATAACCATTTCTCCTTCCTACTGTTTACCTAGTATTAAGGCATGCAATAATTTCGCGGTTCGAAATTTCACCAATCCAAATCTCTTTGGAGTCTATTCCAGGTTTTGACTTGACTCTTGCATCCCCCCTGATTGCAGCACACACCACAAATTCTCGTTGATAGCTTTGGGAATTAGTGATGAGGGAGTTCACCACCTGGTGTCTTTATTGCCTTTTAGGTCATTTCAGACTTTTCCCGAGGGAATGGCGCTTAATGAAAATATGGAGAAAAGTTTTATAACATTAATTGTTTTCTAACACTCCAACTCTCACTTACGATTGGTTTTACAGCTGCATCCACCTCCAATTTTTTCAACTTTCTTATTGTTCGACAAAATTCCTCACCTCTGGTGGTGCTATTTGTTACTCCAAAGCACTGATCATTATTGTTGTATTCGGATCCATGAGAACCACCTGTAGGAGTAGGAGGAAGATAATGAAGTGGATGCGTGGCGCTTTGATAAGATCCCCGATTTCGAGAGTCGCTTCAAAAACGGTTTAACCAAGATCTTAGAGAGTTTTGAATAAACCAAGTCTTGAGCACATTTCTCAATTCTTGGTACTTTAGCATACAGCAAAAGGCGATCATCCTGTGTCTCTTGCTGGGCTCATTATTCAAAACACTTACCATGAGGGTACCAGGATATAGTTATCCACGACTTCAGTATTGAAGCGCAATGGAGATGGGAGATTGAGTCAAAACACTTTAGCCATAACCCTTTGCAACTGAATCGCTATGGAAGCCATCATTCTCACTTTTTCAGGCTGCAAGGAGGCGTTTGTGAAAACCCAAATCGCACCCTATTATAGCATCAAGAGGCAGGTTCCGTCGATCCAGACGATAGAGGACAGTGCTACGGTCTCTGCCGCCTGCAAGTACCCTCTCCTCAGTCCGGATCAGAAGTTTGAGGTCAAGTGGTGAGTCCCTCTAGTGCCAGTCTACCTCAGTGGTAACGATAGGTAGGTCATCCGATAAACTCCCGAAGCCTTGAATACTTTTTAAGTCAGATAACAACTGTCGGACAGCAAAATTTCCATTCATCAGGACCATATTTTGCTCTTCTTGGTTCAATATTTGACTTGATTTTTTGCCAGATTAGACAGACCAATTAACAAAATAAGTTAGATTTTTAACCAGAAAAGGACTGTTTTGAAAAGAAATTTAATTCTAGAAGAAGATGAGGGTCAGCAATGTCTCCAAAGCATAACCCCACACTAACGAAATGGTCCATGCCTAAGGGTAACCAATCCAGCTTCCAAATTATTTAATCGCCCTAACAGCGATTGTGCTCACGAGATGCAGCGTCTCAAAGCGGCATTATTCCATCAAATTTTTCTCATCGTCGTATAGTTGGGCGTTCAACATGGTGTTACCTCTCATTTATGCTAGCTAATTCTCCCTCACCACTTTGAATTGGTTTAAAATTTGTGGCGTCTTTGGCTTGTCGTATCAATTATAATTCATTTCTTTCCTTGGACCGGTAGAACATGAAATTCTTTTTTTATTGCAAATGAACCTATTTCACATTTCTTTTTGCTTCGGCGCCAGTATAATGAACAGGTACGGTGGTTATGAGTGGAGAGAAAATGAACGATCGGGCTGCTACATGAAAGGCTTCGAAGCCGTCGATGAGGAAGCCTTTATGAAGACCATCACACAACTTGAAGGTAAGGCGGTTAGTTCTCTCTGATGTGTTTGTCCGGTTATCCACTCCAGGGATGCATTACCTAATTTCTGGCTAAAAAGTTCGTCCAGGAAAGGAGCAAGGCTCTCCAGTCAGTACCGCTTTGGGTAAATGGGGGATGAAGCACTTTCCGGTGGTGATTGGAGTGTTCAGGAATTGCCAGCTAGTGGTAAGGTTGTTTGTGTAACAAGCGCTGCAACGCAAAGGTCATTTCTTATCACAAGTCAGTCAGCAAACAATCCTTTTCTAATCGTGCATTTTTATGATATAGAGTAAATAATTGACAGTCACTGAAGCTTGATAATGCGCGGTAACTTCATAACTTCTACCACGACTGTCCCCTTGCCAATTGTTTCCTCACTGCCCGCGAGAACCAGAGCTGAAAGGCATTTTTGAGCCGTTATACGCAAACCTTTCGTTATAACGCATTAAGCTCGACGTAGCATCTTTGAATATTTTACCAACGACTTCGGATTGTACCATTGTTGGGTAGTACACTCTGCTACTGCATACTACATTTTCTTCAAACCCTGCAAGAAGCTTCTTCAGCTTTGAAACCAAGTCAAGCTTGAACTGTGATGCAGGTATACTCGAATCGCATCCGTCGGGTTCAACCAAAATGTAATGGTAATATTTTCATCTGCATAATGGGCTAATTTGTCAAAAGCTTTCAATCGGCAAAAAGATTGCCCTACATCGAGAATGCCTAATACAAGCTTTGCTCTTCCTCAGTGATGTGACATCCATGAAAAATTCCTTTATATGGAGGTAGTTTAAGCATACTTATTCGTTTAATCCATTTGTGTTTGCAATTAAATCCAATTTTCATTCTAATTTTCTTTGTCGCTGAAAAGGCTAAAAAAGTGCTTAGAACAACTTCCAGTTTATCATTATCTACCATAGACTCAAGTCTGATTTTCTGTCCCAGCGGTACTTCTCAACCCGTGGACTATCATTACCTCGTGTGCTTTCATTGGGCACACTTTATCAATCAAAAAATTTTTGTACACTTTTCGAGCACGGGATAATTTAAAAGTATTCGACTTCAGCTTAAAATAATCATTTACCTTTCTAGGAAGTGTCTCCAGGTTTCAGCAAATGTCACTCATCCTTGCCGCTAACCCACGTATCAGCTGAGGTGGGCGCACCACTTACCACCACCCACATGTCCTTGGCTCAGGTCTTCCCTTTGTTTGATTAGTTGCCCAGATTTCCAGTCTACTTCCAAGAAGACGCTTTATCTGTTAACCATCTGAACTATCCTCTTATGCTCTAAAGTGGCAGGATTGTGAAATTCATCTCTTATGTCGCGTACTTACCCTATAAAAGGATTAAAAACTGAGATGAATTTACTGTAGTAGAATCTTTAAGGACCTGTCACTTCAACAATCGCGAATACCGATTCTCACGCATGAAATGCTTTGAATAAATCCCAACTTTGTTACCAAGTGACCCGTTGGTGATGACAGGTTGGTGGCGAACAGCTTCTGGAAATCAAGATCAACTTAAAATAGTCGAGGAATGTAAAAAAACTTAGTGTCGTTTTGATTAATATCCGTAGAAAAGTACAGAGGTACAGGTAATCTATTGCTCCTTGATTACACCCTTTGGCAATGTTTTAGGGACGGTCTTCGCACCCGAAAGGAACACCACCTTTTATCGCAATTACATCATAAAACTACTTTTAAAAGGCTAAAAGAACAAATGTAGCTATATAAAACTTGGATTTAAAGTAGTGTCGATATTATAGCATCCTTACAGTGACAGCAAGGGATAGTTGACAGCGTTCTTGAGGTCAATTTAACAATGTAGCTCTCACAAACCTACTGACCGTATTTCAATAGGGGATTGATTTATCGACAAATATAAGAAAATATTTACAGAAAAATGTTCTGAACAAAATTTGAAGTCAGTTTGATTCGAAACTGCAATTCCCGAGATCCCAATAGGTGCACTTTTAAAGCCCTTAAAGTATGTATTCGTTTATTTCACCAGTTTCGTTCATACTCATACTTTACCCTCAGGTTGCCGTTATTCATCTCGAATTCCGCTTTGGCCCTTCAAGTGCTTGATCCACTTGTGATATTCACAATCAAATTACCTTTGAGCCGAAACTCTAGCTAGGAACCATACACCTTAATGTTAATTTTTCGAGCCGATGGAAATCGCCTCAAATTAACACCGCGTAAATCGCGCATGAGGCCATTAAGTTCATCAGTGTGACAAACTGTGAACCACCGGACACCGGGTCGATTTGAGGCCAAGGGCTAGATCATTGAAAACTGCCAATCTAAAAGCCGCTAATAAGACGTTTGTCCACTGTTTAGGTCCAGTGAAGTGTTCAGTGCTCTACTTGATGGTTTTCGGAGGACTGAAGAGCCTGATAATGGAGGTAAAGGACACCCACCGCTTCATCATTCAATCACACTGGACGTTGGATATTTGGTCGAAACACTGCCTCCAAATGGATCCCATTTTCAATCAACTCTTCTTGACCGGTTTCCTCAGGCTAGCTGAACTCACATTGAATGCGGTTGTTAAAAAGGCCCACACGGATGTTGTCAGTGGCACAAAGTGCGTCATAAACGGGAACATGGAAAAAAAATAATTTATGGTCTCAATTAGAGTAAAGCCAAGGTTCCTTTGACGTTTTTAATGTATATTATCCAGTATTAGAATATGGGAAATCATAGTTTACGTAGGTTCTGTTTGCTACTTTGAAAGAAAGACAAATGTTGAATAAACAAATCATTCTATTACTCACTAAGGTTCTACAAACTCATATACAAACTGACTGAAATCATCAATGCCCACGTAGTCAACAAAACTGCGGCTGCGTTCTACTCTCTCTCCACCAACCTGATCTCTGTCTACCGTTATCCTCGCCGCATGGCTCCCACCGCAAATGTGAGTTTAAGCTGGATGCTGTAACTCCTCGAGTCGCAACAGAACACTAGTGTAGTCTATTATATTTGACCACGCATGGTGGAGTGTCACTGCCACCAACACTGTGGCTAGAAAGTGGGTACCCAAATATCCAGTTAAATGGATGCTATTTTGCTGCAGAGCGTAGATAAAACCTCCTTCTATGTGGAAGAAATGAGGAACCCTGTACCGCTAGATGTGACTTGTTATGCGATAGCAAAACACCAGGCCTACGTTCAAATCATCAGTCTCCGTCCTATTTCCCACCTCTGTTATGTCGGCAGCTTTGGTCTGACCTCTATGGTGAGTTTGTATTGGAACGCAAGACATTTACTACTCTGCCCTTTTATAGTCAGACTTTAGAAAGGATTTCGTCATAAAGCTGATTTACCGGGTTGCCGAGAACAAGTTAGGGCGGAATCTGGAGTGCTCTTCTGTCATAATGGGTGATAGGAATGAAATTGAGTACAACAGACAGGCCTGCGAGACGGCAGTGATTGAGAAAGAAGTCCACTGTCAGTGCAGGGACCATGGATTCGTTTTCGTCACACAGGTGACTGAAACCTCGGACAACCTTAAAACGAGCGTACCGGCAAACATTCGTTTCAATCCGATTCTCCTGCTCATATTCATTTTTAATCGCATCCTTGCTCTGGCGGGAGTCATCGGACTGATCATTATTGCAGTGTAAGTAGTATTATGTGTTTTCGCCTACTGTGTTGGTTTTGGGGACTGTGAGGACAAGCAGTCGATTTTCGTGGAAAGGTCATTGAAACTGTATGCAACCAATGCGTACGAAAATGACCTCTGTATTCCCAAAATTTGAACTTTCGGGCTTGTAGCAGTGTTTTCCTTTAACCTAGCAACTGGTAAAACTCAAACGTAGTCACCTAAACTGACAAGTGATGCATCTAAAATCTGTAGAATGTAGTTCTGTGACCTCTAAACGGTGGCAGCTCAAAGGAGCGCAGAGGAACATGCTACTTACAAATATAAGTAGAGGGCTATTAGTATGGTCTGAGGGTCATGCTGCGGAGTAGAAGTGCAACCCGCAGTGACTGAAGCACTCGTGTAGTTATACACAGTTAAACAACGTGTCAGACTACTGCAATTGACCTAGACTAGACCACTATGAATGTGATAAAGTGGGCACTTCCGGTAGGCGTCAATGAAACCCGTACCGATCTAAAAGTGGTTACAAGATCCATCTTAGTAGTATATTAATTTTTCTCATAAATCATACCGGCTTCTTCAGATTTAAGTGAGTTTACAGATGACTTCAGTAACAAAAGTTTCGGTGTTAAAAGTAATAAAAAGAAAATGCGGTTGGATACATCTGAAGTTTTGCAGTTGCAATAGTTCTTGCCCTTTTTAGCTCAGGTAGCTAAATTCTAGATTAAAAAGCGATTCTTTTGGAATTAAATTTTTTTCGTATTCGAGGAATTAACTTATATCATCTCTCCAAATGAAAGTGAACTTGTCTGCTAAGCCCCCAAGAAGCTAATGCTTTGTCTTCTAGGCTTTTATTGCATATAAATTTCATCAAGAAAAGGAAAACATAAAGAAGGTTTCCACATGCGCTTAATTGATTCTTTTTACCACCAATTGCTGCAACCATCTATTAAGGTGCTCGATTTTGAAGATCATTTGGCAACCTCTCTAAGCTCTTATTGGCCGTAGAACTACCAAAAATTAAGTCACTACTTTGTAGGTAAAAAGGCAATCAGAAAACTTGTTTGGGACCCTGAGAGGTGGTCCCTTATCTCCTCAACGATCGGTATCTGGAAGTAGAAATGACAAGTAGTTTTCTACCGTGAAGAAATTATCACTAGGACTGGAAGGTTTTTTTCAAAACTTGTTTTTTGGCTTGAGTTGTGTGATGATTAAGTATTCAACACCTTCCTTTGATTCTGAGCTGATCATTTCTTTTGGCGAATTTCAGATCCAAATTTCTCTCCCTGGTGTATAATTACCACCAAAACAGGTAGGCAAGTTGTCCTCTTTGCCCAACTCATTTTGCATAACACCTTTAGTTCAATCTTTTCGTCTTAAGGTTTTATCCGGATTTTCGGAATTTTGGAATTGTGCATCTACTGATCAACCTCATGTTCATTGACGCCCTGTCAACTTGCCTTGACCAGTGTCTAAATGCGCATTCCTGTCTGGTAAGCGCCATCACACAAACTGTCTTTTTATGAAAATGGGTAGATGGATAGGGTCTACCCGTACTGTACCAGCACTTGTTTTAACCACTTCCAAAGTCACGTGGGAATTCAATATCTGAGTAGTTGCCTTGGGCAAAAAGAGATTTTAGTAGTAGGGAAGGACAAGGCACTCTTAGCGTACGGAAGAGCTAACAGCTGACAACCCACAGACGTGAGTGGATACATATGCAGCATATAGAACTTTGATTATACCATTTTTGCTTCCCTTGGCCTTCCAAATCCTTTTGGCACCTCAGCAGTCATACATCTGTACACTCTTGTGTCCCATAGCATCTTTAGGAGCAACTCAGTGGAATTAAACTGTCGCCCGAACGGAGAGGGAAGAGCTAAACACGGGGCTTCCTCGTTCCCGTTTTTCTTCTGACCAGAGATGTGATGGAGACAATGTAAATGACTATCCGTTCAGATCAACTTAGTTGTAATAGTGTATTTCACCTCTTGGGGCACTTAAAAACACGAAAGGTACAGAATGTAACAATGATATCCTCACTGAGATACTTCCTCACTTGGTCGATAGTCAATTCAGAGAAAAACATTCGTGACTCGATAAAGAACGAGGATTGAGGTGACGTCCAAATCCCACGTGGTTGTGATGCTCTATCTATGCAATCTCTCCATGTGTACCACTGTGTGATGGCGTTGTGATGAGCACTTCGGGTCCTGATATGGCTCGCTGCATTGTCTCGATTTCCCTTGCAGAAACCTGTAGAATGCATGCACAGCCTTGTGCCAGCTTGTTAGTACTGTGTTATATATGTCATTCCTTGCTAATTTAGAGGTGTTTTAAACTTCCGCAGCATAATATGGCAAACATGATGAATGTGGATTGTACCAGTTTAGTACACAATTCCAGGGGTTTAACAGATGTTTGTAAAATTTGTTGAATGCCAAATTCAGAATGTGCGCCAGTCAGAAATGCCCTTCTGAAATGGTTTTAGAGAATCATTTGATTCTGGTAATAAAATCGGGTTAAGAAAGACCAACCGTATTTCTCCAAGCGGTGATTGTCACCCTTCTCTTGGTGTTTACACCATCATTAGGCTATCGCATGAGAAATGAAAGCAAGATGTAAAGGGAAGGGCCATGCTTCTCGGAGCAAGGACTCCCATGAAGGTGGAATCCACGGACAAAAATTATTTTATGGAGCAAAAGATCCGATGGAAACCTCACATTTGCTTAGTTAAATATACTCCTGTCTTCATTCATAAGAATTGGCGGAAATGCACAGCACTTTTGGTATTCATGTATTCGAATTGGTGAACATCCCTTCCACGATCAACACTTCCTACCCTTCATTGACCTCTCGAGGAACTACGTCAATTTTGGCCTCTAATTGTTTTCAGTCAAAGGGGCCCATCCTCTTGGCATGGAACTACATGCAGACAATTATTTCAATCCCCTATGGGTTAGCAATTGTCCTCACAGGCAAGACTAACCGACTAGGCCGCATGCTCTGGAATTTGACCATAATTTGTGCCAGTAAGTGATTCCTCCCTTCTTACTTAAGCAAGTTATTTACTCTTAACCCCTTAAGTGACCCTCTTTAATTCTTTCTTCTTCTTCTTCTCCCAGTCGTCTGTATCACGATACAAGCGGTCCTGCAATACTACGGTCATCTTTTCCTTAACTATGTGTAAGTCTCGTTACCATAACCATCGAACAGTGTATTATTCTGCTAATAGGCGTATTGCCAGAATTATAAGATCTGCCAATCAGCCAGTGGAGGGATTGGGAATAGGGAACGAGTAGAGATAAAAACAAGGTAGAATAATTGGACAGGTTGTCGTTCTCCTTCACTGGTTATCGCGAACCATGAAAGGGCCAGGAGACCAAACATTTTGTGAGGCTCTATGCAGCGTCTTGCAATTTATAGAAACTTTCCTTTGGTGATGTGCTCTTCACTGTGCTTTGTGCAGTCCTCGTGACGTTTTGAACCCTCATGCCATGATATTTCGTTGAACTGGCCTAGTCAATGTGAATCGAACTTTAACTCGTTTTCAAATCTGTGTACCATTTGTGACATCTGACAGCGGATGACAGACAGTAATATTTGAAGGCTCTTCTAGCATTATGGAATTGTTCCTGTGAAAAACGTTTGCTTCTGAGTGATTGACCAACCACCTGGCTCCTGATCAGAAATGACTTTTGTGCATTTTGGTAATGAACGTATCAGTAGGTATCGCCACACGCTCGGTAAAAAGGAAGTCCCAGTCTTACAGGCTAATACGACGCAGGACCTCACGGCTGTGTGACAAAGCGTAGTCGCATAGCCATGCAAACGCGTACCCTTGTAGTCATGAGAAAACACAATGTCTCGCTTACATTCTGGCTGGGCGTTGATATTGGGCCATCAATCACATCGTTGCCCAGGAAGTGGAGTAGACAGGTGGGAAATAAAGTTAGGATTCGCAGCCAGCCTGTCATGCTTGAAGTTTCGTTTTACTTCAATGTGATTACGCGAATTTCGGCCATTACTTTAAAGACGATTATGTTTAACAGAAGCAAGGCGGTCCCAATAGCTTTTGACGCAAGATGAGGGCAGAACACGTGAACAGGAGGTTAGCAACTCAAGCGTGGGACTGTGTCTACTTTATTTGTCGTGTTGGTCCTGTTTAACAAGGCGAGCAGCCACCTTTACGTGGAAGCAGAATCGCCGAAGCGAGTGCTCCCTAGTACGGTGACCCAATAAGGTCAACAATTGGGAAATAGGGGCAAACTCCAAAAGGAGGAAAAGAAAGATGGACAAAACAACACACATTCAAGCAAAAGTTATTTTTAAAATACATAATCTTATAGATGCTCTTAATACAGTAATCACCAATAGATCTACATAATTCTTTCTCCATTATGAAGAAGAGCTTGTCTTTCCCAGCGTACTACAATATCTTCCAGTGATTAGCCATCGTGATACGTTCTATTGCCGAATTTCGCTGCAGAAGCGCCTTTGAAAAAACTCAGTTTGCGTAGTAGGCAAACCTAAATTGCATTCATCAGGTTCTTTCGGCTGACACGTCATTGCATGAGGGTTAAAGTCAGACTAGTTGGTCTTTGTCGGCATGCATTATAAAGGGGAGATATGCGTTCTTCCATCAATCTCGTGATCTCTCCACTGAAACCTTGTTAAAAATTTATGCCAATTGTAGCAGCTCATTGCGAGGAGACATTGCGAGAACCCTCCAAACTGTATGAATACCTAATAATATGCTAAGTGAAGACTTTTAAATCCAACGAAGTTCCTAATTTGCTTAGTACTGGTAAGGGCTGGCCGATATGACAGTACGAGACTGTTGAACTTCAGTCACTTTTGGTAGGGCTATTTCCCAAGATACAAAATTCTTTCTTATTGTGCACAATGTGGAGTGCCTCTAGAGAGCCAGCTCCTGTACTCATTCTTCATTTCCACCTTTTCGCCATTTGAATACTCCTCGACCACCTATCTGGAGGGACACACTTCGCAAGGTGAAAATGCCTCAGACCTTCAAAGAGGGCTCCTGCCTCCAATTCACGTGTAAATATTACGACCAGTTCTGTTGGGAGAGATTCTAGCCAGTTCAGCTTCAATCGCATTTATTGTTGGCTGCTATGCACAATTCGATAGTCGGACGTCTGGCAAACTTTAACACGGCTTCAGTAACTTTCCCTTCACGAGGCTCTCTACAGTGTAGCATTTAGTTGACGGGATAGCGATTGGTGTTAGCTGTGAGTGGGCTTGCGATCGCCGCCGTTATTGTAGCTCTCGAGCCATCCCAGCAAATGTTAGGGTACCAACTGGTCCGGGATAGGTGTTCTTCTGAATAATCATAGTTCCTGGGGAAATTGAACCATCAACGTAGAAGCTGAAGCGCAGGAGACCAAGAAGGCCCGATTAACTACAGAGACGATGAAAATAAAATTATTTGCCAAGGTGTGATGGAATTGCCATCCTTATATAATTGCAGTAAAATCCAAAATGACAGGTTGTCGTGCCTTTCAGCTGCATGCCCCTGGACCCGGTCTACTTCATAATCATCGTCAAGATAGTGGTGGTCTTGGTTAACGTCTCCATCTTCACCCACTACGCACGCATGCGAATTCACCGCTACCTTGACGAGTGGATTGGTTGCATGATCTACACTCTGGCTGACATTATGGACGTTATTTTTGGTGTCATCATGATGACAAACTATCGAGCTGACACGAGCCAGGTGCAAGCTACCTTCTTCCTTCGGCACATGGTCAACCGCTCTGTCATGGTACGTTTCCATTGGCTCCTCCGACGATGTACTATTTATGCTCCTGGGCCATGGGATTGCAGAGTGAGAGGTGAAGTCTGCGAAGAGTGACTCATCTAATTCGCACTTCCTGACATTTGCCCATTTCAAACGCCGAACGTCAGCTACCTAGAGAGCTGTTGCACGAGCCTTGAAGCGGCTTCAGGACAAATATACAGGAGAGCTTGGGACACCGGTAGAATGGGTGACACTGTGGAGATCCTCACTACTAGCGTATAGGCTGAATCATGGTCTGAAAAGAGCTCTGTGCCAAATAGCAAATGACTTCATTAATTTTGGTACTTTGATGCTCACATCCCGTTTTAGTGGCATCATTTTTGCCACCAACATCGTCATCTACACTACTTCCACCTGAATCAACCTTAGTCGCCTCTTTTGACACTGTTTGTATGAGTCTTCACTTTACAAAAGACTCAGCCAGCAAGATGATTTTTTACTCATTTTGCCTTTGAAAGTCCACAGTGGTTTGTTCTACCAGTTTCTGCCTGGTTGTGTAGAACTCACTGGTCATTTTTTTCATTTTGATTTACTTCTTTTAAAGTGTGTACTTATACACCAGAGCACATTCATTAAATGCTCTTGGAGCTTTAAACGCTGATTCGGGAGTAGCATTTTTAATAATGTTTTCGAAGCAACAAAAGATCCAAAATAGTTCGAAAATGCAAAACTTTGGAGCCTTTATAAAAATGCTTTTCACCAAACAAAGTTCTTAACTTAATAACTACTTATCATGTCACAGTAGCGCGTACGAAACTTCGGAACAAATCAGGGGTAGACCTATCTGTTGCACAAATGCTTTTCAGTGATTATCCCACCTCTTATTTTGTGCTAATTAGATGATCTCCTACAAATCTGCATTTTTAGGGAATATGCATTGGAATTTTAGCCTCATGTTTAGAGAGGCGGCCTAATAAGCTTAATATGCACTCGGCCTACCTGGCAAGGCGAATAGTTCCGTTCTTTTACTTGTAGACCCTAGTCTCAACAATATACCAGGTCTTTTTCAAGATTTCTCTGATGAAGTTCTACTACCGTATCTACCTCATCATCGTTCGACATGCCAACTTGAGGGATATTGTTGGATACGAGAACCGTTATCGCATCTTTCAAATAATAAACACCTTCTCTGAGTTCGACGGAACCAAGGTTAGCCAATTCTATCGGTTTGAGTGGAATTGTTGCCTCTACGTGAAGTTAGTAAGGCCATTTGCTCAAAAGCCAATGTTGAGACGCGTTGTAACTTTTGCGGACAATTCATGTTGGCAACCAATCTGACATACAATTTTGCCCGGTCATGAAAGACGTCTGAAAGGTTTCTCCACTCTCTCCTAAACAGCGACAGTGAGAGGAGAATTGACCGGTTGCGTTATGTGTTACCTACTTGACAAAACCGACTGCTCATCCTCTGGCCTAGCTAGAGCTGCTAACTGATAACAAGAAGGAATTGCCATAATTGATAACGCGAATAACTAGGGTATTTGCAACGACTTACCATTTCTCACCGCAAGCTAAAAGCACAAAGTTACTTGCCAGAATAGAGGTGCATGCACACATAAGAGCCAACCGAATTAAGTCCTTCTGTCACTTAGACTAAGCATGGCGACCAAGCCGAGTTGGACCTATTCCCCTCCTCACTATAAGTTGATTTCCTCTCTACTTTTAAAGCAGGCCTTACCGACCCTCTCATCCACTACGAGATTAACAGGCGCAACTGAAATGAGCTCGTCGTCAGGGCCTTCAGGATCCACTGGAAGCAGCTACGACGGCTCGTCTGGGTAAAGAACACCACAACGCGAGTCAACACTCGCAACGTCGTCATTCCCAAACTTATCGAGTCTGCGAACCGCCTAGACCCATGATGAAATGTGAGCCAAATAGCATGTACCTTAAATACAAGCACTTAAATCGTTTTACCAATTCCAAGGATAACTATTAAATCATGAAGAAGTCCCAAAAGGCCATAAGAGACATAGGATTAAACTTTTTAATACACATTTTCAGAGATGGCATGTCCTTGAAGGTAGTGGTATCAAAACACATCGAATGCTTGTTAGTGGCCAATATATACGGATGACGGAAGCCTAATTACAGAAAAATGGGTAGGGCGAAACCGTCTTAAATGCTTAAAATAAGGGCAAAGTGGCAGAAGGTACGGAGGGAAAGAGCTACGTTCTGGCTGGAGATGATTGGGAATCCGGAGTGTGCCAGGTTAACCGCTCTTCGTAGAACTTGATAACCGCCTGAGGACACTTGACATTGGCCTCCTTGGCCGGAACAAGATCTGCAATATCGATCCCTTGCCTGTGGGGAAAAGACAGACGTGCAGCACTACTACTCATGAATTTAAGTAGGTTGAGGAATCTCCAAAGCCTCACCATTTAATGAGAAACATAAGCTCCCCCGAGGACTCTGTAGCACCAATAATGCGTTCCACCTTGAGATTGCGTTCAAAACCACGAACCTTCCCGCCTACCGAGGGTAGTTCTGACAGTACTTGACGCTATCAAAGACAAAATCTAGTAAGCCACCATGGGAGGATGAGAACTAGCCCGACCGGGGAAGGCTTACCTTAGCCGGAGAACTCCCTTCTCCCTCCTCTTCATCCTCACCCTCCTCCTCCTCCTCCTCGTGCTCATCACCAGTTTTGTTCGCATCTGACTCCTGTGAAGTGGGATTCCGTCGTTTTCTGCCACGCTTCTTCGGAGCTGTGTCGCCAGTTTTGGAAGAGTCCTGTTCTGAGGGTGGCAAGGAATCGTGTTTCGGGATCTCCGCATCTCTGACACTACCATTGTCACTGGAAGCAATGCTCGACGGTCTTCCAGCGGGACGTGGTTTGGCAAGCTTCTTGGCATTGTCCTCAAACTGTTTGATCAGGTCTGGGCAGTCAAGATTCTCCTCAGGCTCCCAAGTGTTCTCAGAGTCAGGATATCCCTTCCATTTAAGAAAATACTCTTTCTTTCCATTGCGGATTCGAACTCGAAGAACTTTTTCAACTGTGAATTCGTCGGGATTTTCTTCGAAGTCAGACATCGTCTAGAATATACACGGCTTAGCTCAATGAATACGAAGCATTAGGGAAAAAAATTGGATTCGAGCTACTTAAGAATCATGCGGATGAGTTGAGCAACTAAGTAACAAGCATGGGAGCAGGCACATAATTTATCGTACGGCAGAAGCTCCAATGTCTTTCCAAGAAATGAAGCCGAACAACGCATTTAGTTGACAAAATAAGAGAGGGTGCTCAATCCCAAAAAGAGAGTTCAGTCATTACGTTGCATATAATTTGAAATACACGCTAATTTTACATACTAGAATATGAAGTAAAACGACTGACAAGGGAACACACAAATCCAGAACTCCACCACCTTGTGGAAGTACATAAATGTGAAAAGAAAGTCTATAAACGCAAAACTAAGTATGTAACAGCAAACGCAATAATCCAGATAGATAAGTAGCTTGACACATCCAGGAGAAGCGAAAGTCAAACGCACACCGCGCTCTATTTCAAAAGGCAACCCTGGTACGGTGAATCAAACAAACAAATTATACTAGCTTCTAACGTGTAGAGAATTATGCTTTGCTAAGTATCAGAGCTCTCCAAAAATTTGTTAGTCTGCCTTCTTTAGCTTATTCGTAGGATACAAGAATATAACAATAAAGTGAGCCAAGCCGAAAAGTAAAAACATACTGCGTTTAAATGGAGTGACTTTAACCCATCATTTCCGCAGATTGTCACTGTTTACACATTAGTTCATTTTCTAAAGTCCATAAAATTTTGCCAACTCTTATTTGTCGCATATGATCTGCATGTATTGATTCTTCTTTGAACACGCTGAACATGCATTAATTGCACAGAAGCACACTTCTTTCCATACTGAAGGGCCTCAAGACTTCCTTTAAGACTAAAGAAGGCACAATACTTGGGCAGAACGTATATATTCACAGTGCAGACGGTACTAAGGCTACTGGCATGGCCCGAAAACCGGCCCACCCCACGTGATTCAATGGTCAAGTCCAAAGCCGCCCTTCACAAAAACCGAGGGTTGGGCACCCACCGCATTACAGCATATCCCAACTAACACCCCTTCGAACGGCAAATCTTGCTAACGATTGAGCGCAGAGCACGCTCGCGTTCTCCCCCGGCTAAATGCTTAAATCCACATCGCGATTAAACACGCCGGCTTCGCTTTGCAGCCAACTTTTAGCGGATGCAATGCGCCCAAGCTTGTCAGCAAAGCACGGTCGGAGGGATGAAAGTCGACTACCCACCGCCGACTTCGCTGCTGACTGCCCTGTCAACGGCCGTCCACGGTTGGCGGACAGACCAAGGTCAAAGAATATGCCCCCGAAATGTCTTGATGACCATTCCGGGCCGAACGCGTTGCACCCGGCCTGCGCACAATGCGCGGAGCCCTTTTATTGGCTGGCGTGGCATATTTCTTTAAACGTAATGGCGGTTTGCAGTTGCTTAAAATAATGAATAAGTTTTAGGTTACCTGAACCTTACTAAATTAAAAAAAGTGTCCCTCATTAAGCATGCGTATTTGATTTCTTTTGTAATTATATTAATAAAGGACTGTTGCATAAAAAATATAGTACGAACTTCTTTAATTAGAATTTAACAATTAAGTAGCATATTTTTTATTTTTCTGTTTTAACTCTAAGTCAAACATCTTATTCCCGACTAAGACTAGAATGTGTAATTTATGCTTAGGCTATAAATTCATGGCTTTATAAACCCATCTGAATATTGACCATTAGCATGGTTAACCGTAGCATGTAAAGCCATGAACGCGTCGTGCCAACACACCGTTAACTGGATAGACTGCACAGTCGTTTGCCATCTGCCCTTGTACTTTGCTAAAGTGGGTGACTGACTTCCCCCATGTGATCATTTCCCCCACGTTTCCGTGGCGAACGTGTTCCAAATTGCATAAGGGCACTGAAAATGATGGGTGTGTTGTGTTTGCTCTAGGGTATTGACATGAAAACCAAATGTAGCGCCCTGAGACATCCTGGAGGCCAAAAGAAGGCATAATACTGGCGCAGAATATGCATTGTCGACGTCTTAGTGGGCTTGGGGGCCACTGGCATAGCCCGGAGGCCAGTTTATAATGCAGCGATAGGGTGGCAGAGCCCTGGGTGGCCCGTTACTAAAACAAAGAGTATTTATGCAATTAAAATATCAAACAGTCAACCTCTCTAATCGCATTTTAAAGCCTTTTCATAAGCATCACGGGCAAAATAAATACATTATCACAGTTCTATGCGGACTACTGGAACTCAAAAAGGCAGAAGAGCTTGTCGTAAGTACCCTGGGCACAAAAAACGCTTTGTTGAAAGATATCTGTGTGTTGGCCCATCTCTTACATCTCTCAATTAATTTGCATAATGTCACTCTGTAATTGGCACTCGCGATGATAAGTGTGTAACAATGTGAATCGAATTACTGGAAAATCCCTTATGCACTAGGTGGAAATTCACTTTTCGATAGCTGGAAGCAAATCAGTGCCAGCTGGAATTTCCGTTGCAGTTAGAACATTATTTGGTCGAGAAAAGTTAGTATCTGAACAGAAACGTTCTGTTTTATGTGTCCATTTCTCCGGCTTAAAATAGGCAAGCTTTTAGAGAATTATTGGAGGTACTATTTATAAATTTAGTTTTTGATAAGCAGGCGTTTTGCGCTCCGTGGGTTGTCCTCCAGGCCATGCTAGCAGCCATTCAGTTTAGCTTTTCTGTTCGTAAGCGACAATTTGGATTGTTGTCACCTCAGAGAAGACTTGGGCGCTAAAACCATGTGGTAGCAACCAAATTATCCAGTTAATCCTTAATCTTTAACTCTTGCCATTCACAAGTGGCAAAACATTCTCCCTAAAGTGCAGCATCATAATACGTACGCATGATACTGCTTAAATGAGTGTCTCAGCACGCCGTTACCTCGCTCATTGTCTATCCAAAGTATTATAAATTTGACAGAGTTTTGTCGTTTGTTTAAAAGTAGACGTAGTTCCATTTAATGCCCTTCAATTAGACGTTTGCCTGATCAATGATTAACATCTTTTTCACTTTTAACTCTTTTCCAAAAGATAAGTTTTAATTGCATTTTTGTGCGCGGTGGCTTAAAGACAGCGACAACCGAGTTATTGTAGGACCGTGTACAACTTTTTCATATACCATTGTTCTTAAATGCCCTTTCGGGAAGACTTTATCCACGCAGAAAAAGTTGCTTTCTTTTGATTTAGGTAGTAGTGTATTTTCTGTGCAGTATTGTTTCACTCGAGTCTAAAAACAACGGTAAGTGAGTGGTGGTAAGATCGCATGCAGCTTTTTTTGCTACACCGTCATCCCTCCACCTAGAAGGTGCCGCCTTCCGCGTCTCCAATTACACCTCACCCTTTGAGAAGTGCTGAGTGAAAAGTGCCGCGCTGTCGAGGCAGATTTTTTCACAGTGTACTGCACAAGCTAAGTCATCTAGATTAGCAGAATACAAAGTGAGCAGTGGTGTCATGGCAACAGATCGGTGAGAAAAAATCTGTTTGCATGTTTGTTTGGCTGGAATGTAATCACGTCCTCGGGTCAAGCTAATTTCCCCGATTGTGGGAATTAGTGGTAGTTTGGAATAAATGTGCCTTAGTGATGTTAATATAGTCCCTAAGGAGGACAAATATTTGGTTGACTTTATAATTTGATGAGTAAATTAGCATATTTGCTACTTGCGTCACGTATATGTGACGCGCGTTCCTCAATACTTTATGGTAAGTGGTGTGTAAAGTGTAGCGTGACTTTGGTCAGAGGTCAATTGCCTCGAGCAGTAGTCATAAAGCGGTTGGTCTGGTTGTGCAAATATTGACACATCGATGCCTTTGAGCCGTGGAAAACGATCAAGGTGGATGGGAAGATACTACCTAAGACGTACCAACTTCGAAACTCTTAAATCCCTATCTACTTTAGTGCATAGGAACTTGTGCATTGGCCAAACGAGTCTGATGGCCACAAGAATGAGGGGCACGTCAGTGAGATCTCCTCTCCTTCCTTGATAGGGCAAAGGTCAAGAGAGAATAATTAAAGGCAAGTTAATTAATCAAGCAGCGGATCCCACTGTTGTAAAACGCTGTCACTTGTGGCATGTTCGACTAATTACTTTGAAAGGGAGATTAAAAGCGCACCCTCATGGAGTGACTTGAGGTCGCCTAGAGATACTTGAGAGGCGCTAATTTGGCATTGACAACCAGGGTTGATTTGTGTTCACAATGCACCACGAATGTGTCACTCTAGTAAACTGCATGCAAATAAATCAAAGGAGAATTTGGACGACAGGATCGCGATCACTTGGTCTGGTGAAGCTCCACTGAAAGGTCATTAATCTATTTCCCTTTGGTAAGGCGTCCCAAAATGTCTCAAGGGAGCGATTGAGGAGCAGTCACCTCTGCATTGCTGTAGCTTTGATGCTGTCGATTTGTGAAGTTCAAGTAAACTTCTTTGACTTCGACCTAGAGCCAAAAATCTGAACCTTGGAAAAACTTGTACCTTAAGGAACTAGCCCAACGCACTTCACCATATCGGTGGGATGTTCTGCCTTGCGCATCATGACCTTCTCAGGGTAGAGTGCAGTTTTCTGCCTCTCTAACAAATGCAAATGCTGTGCAAAAGTGCTTCAATTACGCGTCTTGACATTCTCCCACAGTCGTATCACCCTCCACTGCCTCGAATGTTGTCAATACAGGTCCAATTTACATTTTACTTTAAGGATTTCCTGCTCTTCACAATCCTTTGTGCTCCTTCCAACCCGATTTGTATGTAGGACCCTCAAAGCTAGATTATTTTCCTCTATCTATCACGTAATTATGAAGGAAAATGGTCAAAGAGAAGTTGAGCAGTACAAATGATCCACCTGATAGGTTCCATGTCATTTCGCGGCATGGCCTCGTATAATGGTTAATTTGAATCTAGCTGTTGTGCAAATGCGGTCTTCCTTGGGGCTTATGGGCTGCATTAATACCCTTTAAACCAAATAAGTGTCAAGGACGCAG